CGGTTACGTTTAACCAAATCTGCAAGTTGTGTAAAGCTCATTCTTTTGATGGGATAGTAGTAGTAATCTCTTTTGAACCGTAAATTGAAGTTTCAGCTGTGAAAGGAGTTAATTTTTGTGTATATGTTACTTGGCTGCAAAAAGGTGTAATTTCGCTTTAGTGAATTGAGTTATTATGAGAATAGGAGAAACAAAAAACAAAAAACAAAAAATAGGAGAATAGGGGTAAAATATGACCCCTATTTATAGGTACAAATAATGATCAAGAGTGGACTATACCATCATCTCTGTAGTAAGTAGGTAACGAATCGAATGGAAGCTCAGGAAAGGTTATGTGAATTTATTTTCTCAAAGGGAGAAATTGTAGAAAGTCACGGAAAAAAACACAAAACTCATAAGAAAGGGAGAAAAAAAAATCCCGCAACGCAAAACACAAATGACTATTTTCACAACCGTTTGTTCCTTAATTAGTAAACTTTAAGCGATGGAGATGGGTCTTTGGGTGGAAGGCAAAGAAACTGGGGACAAGTGTTTTGAACCCATACGTTGAATGTATTAGGTCAACTTATCAATATCAATCCAAAGACAGTCAAGGAGCTGAAAAGTACACACCGATGATACGAAATCATATACGATAAGGATAGTTCGAATGTATAAGCAAGTTACGCAAACAAAATAAATAGCATGCATAAAATCAAATCATGCAATTTTCTTGATTTAGCCATTCTTTCCGCAAATACAGAGTATGCCGAATTTACCTATTCATAACCTTTTGCAATTGTTTTTACATGACCAATTATCCATTGTAATTAATAGGATTTAGACAATGATCTTTTTGCAGAGCACTGCTATAGATCGTACGTCTAAATTCTTATTTTTTTTCTTGATTGGACAATGTTGTTCACGGGCTAGCAAATCTCGGCATTTGTCGTCATTCTAGCCTTGTCTTTACAGATCTCATCGTAACAGAAGGGGTGAAAACCAATATACACGGAAATCCGCCGTTTTGATCCTTATACATCATTATTGGGAAACAAGCAGGATTAGACGAGTTAAAGATTGCTTCTATTTTGATCCCCTTCTAGGGTGCTGGTTAGATATTCCCGGTAAGGACTACTTGTATCGGTAAGTCCGCTTCATGTCATTGTAAACTCTCAAAAGTGGAGGAACCAACAATGCAGAGAAAACATAGAAATCGGATACGTGACTAACAAAACTTCTTCATTATCAACCTTTCCCAAATAGCTTTTCCATGAGTACTCAGCAAAGTTGTTAACTTCTAAAAAAGTCATTAACCTAGTTAAGCTTCTTGTTAGTTGTGTCATTAAAAAAAAGACAATTATTCATAACCTCCTCACTAGCTTTAAAAGTCACTAAACTAAGTATAATAAAAGACTAAATTTATGATAAGGAAAGTTTTTTAATACCTTTGAGTAATAAAAGAGCCCAATAAGAAACTGTATTAGATTGGAATGGAACATCTGCCACGCAATAAAGTTTTAACTTTTTGTTTCAACTATGGTCATTAATATTGCAACACTTTTATACTTTAATTCTTCCAACCCCTCCATCTTTTTTGCCTCTAAACAAATCTGAAGGCATTAGTCAACCAAAATTCTCACCCTTACAAAATTAAAGAGTTGCGGTGTGAATATTCATCATTTCTTAAATCAAACCTATACAAAATAAAACGAATGGAGACTTGTTGAATTGAAACTTAAATTGAAGTACAAAGCAAGCTTTTATGTGCTGTAACACTAATGTTCCTTGTTCTCAGTTGAGCTAGCTTCGTCAACACTGACTCTTGCGTTTGCTTTAGTGCCAATCCGTTCAACGTGCTCAACACTCAATTTTCTTGCTAACTCTGAATCTGGGTCAATAGGGATCATAGGGGTCCAGGAGGCTGATCTCCAAGCTGGCACCTTTTCATCCCACATTTGTCCAACTTCTTCCAATCTCTTTCCTTTGGTCTCGGGGAATCCTAAATAAACATGAATGGCCATGGTGAGACAGAGGACACCGTAGATGATGTATGTTCTGTAATTGATGTTTTTGAATCCTGTTGGAGTATACATAGCAAGAGCAAAATTGAAGCACCAATTGGAGCAGGTCGATAATGAGTTGCCTCTTTGGGAAATTCTGTTATCACCCCAGACTTCTGCACAGTAAACCCAGATCCCCACACCCCATGTAGCAGCGAAAGAACTGACAAATAAGTATGAGCATGCAATGGCACCTTTAGCTGCTGATTTATTGTCACTTGGAATTCTGATGGTAACAGACTCGTTTCCAGAATCTGGCCAAGGTACAGCGTAGGTTCCCAAAATGCCCGTGAGACCAAATTGGAAAATCATCATCAGTATTGCGCCACCAATCAACAATGGTCTTCTACCAAACCTGTCAAACAAAAACAAAGCTGGGACGGTACAAACAACAAATAGCACATATTGAATTGACGATGCGACCAAATTATTATCCCCTTCGTAACCAGCCATTTGAAAGATGTAGACAATGTAGTACATCATAACGTTATTTCCTGTCAACTGTTGCCAAGCCTGGGCCATCATTGCCGTGAATGTTCTTAATAGGTACTTTTTTGTAAATAAAGTAAAGTAGGTGATGCTTTTAGCTTCGAGGTCAATCATTAATTGCTCCTTGATTTCAGCAATTTCAATCAAAACTTCAGGATCTTCATGGTTTCCATGGGCTTGAATCTTTGTAACAATTTCCTCAGCCTGTTCCCATTTACCTTGTTTGGCCAACCAACGTGGTGATTCAGGAATAAAGAAGCAGCCAAGAAAGAGGAGTAAGCCAGGCACAATTTGGAACCCCCAGCCAACCCTGAAACTACCAACACCATTGATGTGTCCAACACCATAGCAAAAGTAAAACATTATCAAGATTCCTAAAGCAACAGCAAACTGGAAGAGACCATTAACTGTACCTCTTCTTTTACGGGGCGAAATCTCTGCTCCATAAATTGGGGCGACAGAAGTACCAAATCCAACTCCTAAACCCGAAATTATACGACCAATAATTAACTGAGCAACATTTTGTGATGACGATTGAACAGCAGCACCAATCATCCATAATAACGAACAAATCATGAGCGACAATCTTCTGCCAAATGGCTCCGAAACAAATGAAGATGCAATGGATCCAAAGATGGACCCTAACGCCATTGAAGCTGTAATAAAGCCCTGCAATGTAGACCCTGGGTGGTTAAAAAACTTCCCATAGGGCTTAGCATCAATGAAGGCCGACATGGATGAGATGTCAAAACCAAACATCAAACCAGCAACAGTTGAAATACTAGCAATGAAGTATACATTGTAGATCTTGGGTAACTTGTCCAAGTAGTTGGCCAATTTCAATGCAGAGCTAGAAAACACACTTTCAAATCTTGACGACATAATCGAATATAGATAATTGAAGTCGCAAGATGTACTGATTTAGAACCAAGTATGAATTTAAAGTGCAAGGAGTTCGGTACCTATATATATATATATAGATATAGATATAGATATAGATATAGATATAGATATAGATATAGATAGATAATGGAAAGTAAGGGGGATTATTTACCCCAATATCTTATTGTATCCCCCCACAGTGAAGTAGACGTAAATTTTCTTCATTGTTTTGATTCATTCGATATCAACAATGTGGCTTTGTGTTAGCTGTATAGAAACCAAGGACTGGTGGCTTTCCCCGCCACGCTTAGAAGCTTTCATCTATTGAATGAAACATTGCTGAGATGCACCTGGGATTATATCGAATACTTAGCCTTCTACAACAATGTGTGGTTTTGCAACTCATTTTTAATTTTGCAGCACTAACTTCGGTAAGATTATACAATAGAGAAAACAATAAAACAATGGAAAAGCGGACCGACAAAACTTGGCGACGTCTATTTTTGAGCAAACCTTTCATGAATGAGCATATACTTTACACCAAGTATTAAATTAGAAGTAGGTAATAGGATGAGGACGAGGAGAAACTACAATAAGCATAGATACTTCTATGAGGTAAAAAAGCCTAGTTGGTGTTGTGAAATTAGCTTCCTCTATAAAAGTCTATCCTCTTTCATAAAAAATCAAGCACTTTTTTTACTGAGCACAAAGAGGTTGTGGCAATATCTGTCGTTTTAGACTTGCTTTTACGTAGGACCGTACATAATTGGTAGTGTACTGATATCCTTGCGTGGGGAATCCCCCACCTTACTTTGTACTCAACAGAGGCTAAACGACTAAACCTAACATCATTGCACAGCGAAGCATATTACTTCCACCAGACGTAGCACTGCTAACCTACTTGATTATGGATTGGGATGACGTTGATGGCATATTCAGTTCATCTCTAGTTTTTCAGCCCCAAATTAATAGCGAGTCTCTTCAATCCATGCTCAAAGAAGAAAGAACCTACTTCAGGAACATTTTTGCAGAAACCAAGCAACCACAAAACCGGGAAGATGTAAGTCAAATTATTTTTCTATTTTGTGCTATTCATCATTTCAATAATATTCCCGAAAGGTTCGCTGTTTTACCCAACACGACACAAATGATGGAGCAAGCAAGTAATCAGTGAGATGGAGAATATCAATTACGATGCATAAGAGGTTGTTCAAGGGGCGTAGTCTGTGCTTTGTGAAAATATCCTCCATTTTTGAAGAGTCTTGCATCGTCAAGGGTAACATTGTCGTAATTTTGTGAGCCTTCCAGAAAGCCTCTGAGAGTCGTATGATACATCTTATACGGACAAGACCTTTATTCCGCAGAAATAGCAAAGGTAACATTCGACCAACTAAAAAATTTATGGTCACACATTACGTCATTTTGGTCCTACTCAAAGTAGAGGTTATTTGATTAAGGTAAAGATCTCAAACTGTAATTTGTCGCCTTGCTTCGTAAACGAGAACTCGGATCCATAATAGTGACCTGGAGTACAGGGAGTTCCACAGAAATTTTGCTTTCGTCAGAGGTCTCGGGTTTACTCTTACCGAGGGACGGAATCCAGGTTCAAGTTATGCTAAAGCGAATATTATGCTGAAAAAGCTTTTACTTATCCCAACTAGTTCTAGCGTACACACAACTATGTTGATTTACGAACGGAAAGATTGTCCATTGATCAAGATAGCAACATCCTCTTGACACAGACTAAGCACCAAGTGCTATTCGGCCCCTCACCCTAAGCCTATTGTAGGCAGAATGTTCAATATTAATAATGTCTTAGTCAGCAATCCCCCCTCTTCCCAAAACGGAAAAATTATATTTAGAACTTGCATGAGAGAATCTAAGACTTTATATGCATCATAGGCTAAATTGATTGGGAAATATCGCACTTTGCTCAAGCCCCACTGTACATCCAAAGTTGCAAAGAAGGATGGTATCATAGGTAATCCGTAAAAATTCTAGCAAAATACATCTGAACATAGGCTCTTCTGATATCCAGTGTTCAAGCTACGGCCACGTTACAATACCCAATTAACACATGAATTCAGATTAGAATCAATCTATACAAAACTAACTTACAGCTATTAAACTCAAGAGTTTAAATCGACTGCAGAGCACAATGAGACCGGCAAATCTCTATCACGGCAATTAAGCAGAGTTGGAATTAACTTCGCTGACTTTTTCATCTGACTTGGACCCTATGTATTCAATATGCTCAACACTCAATTTCTTAACCAGTTCAGTGTCACCCGTAGCTGGAATAGTGGGTTTCCAAGAAGCTGATCTCCAGGCAGGAACACCCTCATCCCACATTTGTCCAACTTCTTCCAACCTCTTTCCTTTGGTCTCGGGGAATCCTAAATAAACATGAACAGCCATAGCAAGACAAAACACACCATAAATGATGTAAGTCTTCCAGCTAATTGTTCTAAAACCCGATGGAGTATACATTCCAATAGCAAAGTTGATAACCCAGTTGGCACATGTAGATGAAGCGTTTCCTCTTTGCGAGATTCTGTTATCACCCCAAAGCTCGGCACAGTAAACCCAAATACCAACACCCCAAGTGGCAGCAAAAGAGCAAACAAACAAATAACAGCAAGCAATGGCCCCGGCTGAGGCAGCTTTGTTTTCCGCAGGGATCTTGATGTTGACAGACTGATTACCCGAATCAGCCCATGGCACAGCGTATGCACCCAAGATACCAGCAAGAGCACTTTGAAACGTCATCATCAACAATGCACCAACGATCAATACCGGTCTCCTACCAAACTTGTCAAAGAAGAACAACGCAGGAATCGTGCAAGCAACAAACAAGACGTATTGAATAGAAGAAGCAACCAAGTTGGCATCACCACTATATCCTGCCATTTGGAAAATGTAGACAATATAGTACATCATAACATTCATACCGGTCAATTGTTGCCAAATCTGAGCAAAGATAGCAGTAAATGTTCTAACAATAAACTTTCTTTTGAATAAAGTAGCGTATCCAACCGACTTGGCCTCCTTATCAATCGACAACTGTTCCTTAATTTCAGCAATTTCAATCAAAACTTCTTCATCTTCTGAGTTACCATGTGCTTGGATCTTTGATACAATTTCTTCAGCCTGCTCCCATTTACCTTGTTTGGCTAACCAACGTGGTGATTCAGGAATGATAAAACATCCAAAAAATAAAAGCACTCCAGGAACAATTTGGAATCCCCAACCAACCCTAAAACTACCAACGCCTTTAATGTGGCCAACACCATAACAAAAGTAAAACATAATCATAATACCCATGGCAATCGACATTTGAAAGAGTCCATTGACAGCACCTCTTCTCTTACGCGGTGAGATCTCAGCTCCATAGATTGGGGCCACTGAGGATCCAAAACCAACACCCAATCCGGAAATGATACGACCAGCGATCAACATGGAAGTGTTTTGTGATGCAGATTGGATTGATGCACCAACAATCCAGAACAATGAGCAAATCAAAAGCGATAATCTTCTTCCAAATGGCTCAGAAACAAATGACGAGGCGATTGAACCAAATGTTGATCCCAATGCCATAGCCGCCGTGATAAAACCTTGTAAGGTAGATCCTGGGTTATTGAAATACTCGGAATAAGCTTTCGCTCCAATGAAAGCAGACATGGAGGAGATATCAAACCCAAACATCAAACCAGCGATAGTTGAAATACTAGCGATAAAGTAGACATTGTAGATTTTGGGAAATTTATCCAAAAATGTACCCACTCTCAAAGCAGGACCAGCAAACACACGTTCAATTTTTGAAGACATATTGAGTTTTGGTAAGTTGGAGCTGTGAAGCAGTTGATGTTTTTTATTAATTAGTATTTTTGGATTTGAAACAGGGGGAGGTTTGCCAGCTTATTTATATTGAGTTCGATCCCTATGGGGTTTCTTCCTCTAAGAACACTAAATTTTTCTGATAAGTACTAATGTTGTGCTCAAGGCTTATCAAATTATGGGGTTTTGCAATACATTGTGGTCTTTGCATCAACATTAGAGCACAATTTATTTTGTACCTCTGATTTTCCCCACTAGATTTCATCGTTTTGAGTCACTTGACATTACTTGCCAATGGCCAAAGTTGGGTCTCATATGTAGTGGACATTATTACACAATGTAGGCAAGGAAAAGCAATTTTCAACTTTTGTTGCAAATACTTGTTGGGATTTCGTGCTTCAACCAATATGGGCAGTTCAACGGAGTATTAGAGGGTTGTTGAAAGAGTATTTTTGAATCTCTTAATCATTTGTGTGGCCAATTCAGACTTGGTAGACGTGAAATTGTACCAATCGATTAGCTTCATGGGTGTGTGATAACTCTGCCTTTCTAAATGTGGAGTTTTGTTACCAACTTGAATGATTTGTGTCAATGCAGAATTGACTAAGACATAACTGATCTTCGATATCTAATTCAAAAATTTGTCAATTTTGACCAACCCAACTTTTTTAAAAGGCAACAAGAGAGAAATTCCTCCAGAGGGGTTAACCTTTCAGTGAGATGTTACTTGTATGCTAGATCTTCTCATTGTGGTAAACCTTATCAAAAACAAAACCAAATGTAACTTGTGGTGTATGATGAAGTTAATACCTCAAGATTTCATATATTAGTGGATGGATAAATGTACTCCATATCGTACGGTTCTTGTTGAAAGTAAATTTCTTTTCTGATTTTTTGGCTTTAGTTTTGTCGGAAAAAAATATATATATAATTATGGAGACAGAAATAAAGTTTTGTGTAAAGTAATTTCTCCTTGCCCAACAATATTTTCTTTGTCAAAGGGTATCTCTAACCGAATAGGACGACTTTAGTGATGCAAGAAGCCTTGGCAAAGATTGTAAGCTTTTCATTTGTAGCCCTGCACTATTCTTATACTTTTGCAAGTACATAGAGCACAGTCGATGAGAAATCGATGTAGCTTCAACGGATCTAAAAAGACTGTTTTTCAAAAGACACCATTCACCTTTAACTCTCAAAAGAGACATACAGACCACATCAAACGTTTTATTACAACCTCAGGGCTTCACCTTTCCGAAGTGGTGTGCCGTTGTCTTATTTTCTTTTTTGGTCGCCCCACAAACTCACAAACAATTTTCATCAAAAATCAATTTGTGATGCATTATCAACAAACCAAACGTTTTTGCCGGAACTCTTGTTATGTAATATGCCACTGTATTGAGATCGTTTTCAAAATGGTAGTCATTTTGCACTAATGAGGTAATACTCAAATACTCGGAGTATTCAAAATGTACGGTGGTTGTATTTTCTCGAGAGCACACCTGCAAACAAAGGCGGTAATTCGTGATTAAGACCATTTTCAACTATTGGGTTAAATTATTTCCGCAAAGACTCTTGCTGAGAGTCTTTTTGTACGTTTGTTGCAGCATTCGGGCTTGCTTATTATTGGATTTGTCTAAGTAAACTGGATCCTACATGCATATGCCCCACCAATCAAGCTACTACAAAGACTTTAAGAATTTCCATCGTGGTTGTGTAGGTTGTTTTGGAAAGCAGGTCAAGAAATACCGTTCAACTCCCCCTTCCCTAATCAGTGACAAGAGAATCATCGACTAGAGAGTAAAATGCAGGCCACATTTACTTTTTACATGAAGAAAGTACCTCTTGAGAAATAGACATTCATCATTTTCATTCTTGATACAATAATAAGCAACATTAATTAAACAGATAGTAAGATAATATTATATAGCCACACATATTCCTATTATTTAAGCTTATCGCAGCCAGGTGGATAGAACAGCTCATGGTTTTTGACAATAGTGAATTGCCAAAGCTTTCGCACATGCTTCCTCACATGCTAGATACGTACTACCCACCTATCGCCACCGGCTCTCCCTTTTTCAAATGGTCAATTGCTGTGCTGTCTAAATCACCGGTATTTCCACATATATTGCACTTTAATCTCTTGGAATAGTAGAATGGGAGCACTGGGATGAAGAAAAGGGTGACTGCATTTATTGTACGGATAGCAAACGCACTTTGGTTATGACAGCGTCCGCAGTAGCAGGCAACATTGCCTATGTCGGACAATTGTTTGTTAAATTCTTTAACTAAAGTGGAGTTCAATGTTAGTAAAGTCTTCAACCTTGACTTGACCGGAGAGGAGGGGGGATGCTGAAAATGGTTCCAATTGACTCAGGATGTAATCTTGGGTACCACTAGTTATATTATGTATGGCTCCCATCTTCAATCTCACCCTTCTATAGGTGATACCATGAGACCCAATCTGATTCATTATTCACTCTCTCCCCCTGTGGTAATTGTGAGGCACACCATCTATTCCCAGATGTAAAGTCGAGTACTCATTCACAACTAGATTCGATACATACATCCAATAAGGAAAAAGCAAAAATCCATCTTTTAATTCAGCTGTTGCAAAGCTTAGACCGAAGTTTATGAAGTAAATTTTGTGTATGTTAAGGTATTCAGCTCTGTAGTCAAAGATCAGATGTTAGGGCTTGTAATCTAATATTTGACTCGAAGGTGATGATGTGATATGTTCAAATGAGTAACTGGAGTTGGCTGTCAGTTCTTGTCCTTTCTTATATTGATATTTTGGTTAGTTTTGCGCCTCAATTAAATAATAATGATAATTTATTCTCTCTTACTATTTTTTGTTTTATTGTTTTTTTCTGGACCTTATGGTTGCTTTCTTCCAATTTTGGTATTTGCGTCATCAACGAAATGGGTAATCACTCTAATCAGAGAATCGGTAACCAATGTACCACTTTTTCAAGAAGTTTTGACTTAGAAAAAGAGAGAGAGTATTAAGTGTTATAGTTTTAGCATTCTATTTTTAAATCAAAAGGGATAGAGTTGAAAGCTTGCATTAAACAACATTTCTGTACATTGTATTTCTAAGCATCAACATATGTAACTGGTAGCGATAGTTTCCACTTCCAATTTCATTTTAGCTGTTTAAAATTTGGTTGAACTAGTTCTACATATAGTTTAGTTTCTTGCCTTTGGTAAATTGGAAACAATTGTTTCATGTTTTTGAAGAGTCCCTACTCCGTTTCGGAACTCAAATTCTTTAAACAATTGTTATCCAAAAACCTTTGCAAAAAAATTTCCATTATTTTAAAAATGAAAAATTAAAACGAATTATAATCTATACTGAACTTATGTTGTACAGATACAACACACCAAGGCTATATAGTGAAGTCATTCTCTCGCAGTAACGACTACTCACGTCAGTACTAAATCCAATTCTTCTTTGATAACCTAAACACAAAGTCGTGTACATTGGTTAACTATGCGACATTGACTCGTTTTTTTAATTACACCAATACAATCTTCAATCTTCAATCGTCTCTCTCCATGGACACCAACAGTCCTGCATAAAATTACCACACTAGCAAGCACAGAGCAGCAACTACTAATTACCAACCCCACTAACTCACTCTGCTAATTTCAAGACATAGGTCATTCCTAACAGATGAAGTTTTCTCATTCTATACAGTTCAATGCTGTACCAGAATGGTCTTCAAAGTATATTGCATACACGACATTGAAAAAATTAATCTATTCGTTACAGAGGGATAGTTTGAGAAGAAATTACCAGCATGGCGATGCCGACGATACTGTTGATTTAGAGGAAAATGCCCATTTAGTGGGTGACCATTACTCGAGTACGGCCCGATTAGATGGTATTGACGATGACGACAGCAATCCCGTGCGAGTATTTGAAGCGGCATTGAATGCAGAATTGAAAAAGATTGATACTTTTTACCAACAGCAGGAGCAATTTTTGTTTAAGAGTATTGATGATTTAGTTTACGATATTGAAGTATTTGAGCAGGAAATTGCTGAAAATTTGGAACATGCAGGCAACAAGAAATTTAAGCCAAGACAACAGGATAAAGGAAGACGCTTTTCAGCAAGTTCGAATGATAATTATATCACCAACACTACTGATCCTGATACCGAATTTACTCAAGGTGAAGGAGATGATTATGATGATGATGAGGAAGACGATGACAATGGAGCTGCGCGGTTGCAAGAGGAGAATTTTATTGAGGAGTTGGAGAGAGACCGAGTCCTTAGTTCTCAAACCAGAGGTCGACAGGTGAAACGAAGTGGATCAACCCCGATTATTCATCAACATGGTGGTGGCTCAAATGGACATGAATTACTGCGTACAAAATCAATTGATGATTATTTAAAGTCGCCAAAATCACAACGTTTGTGGAATGAGTTGACTAATGTGACATCAACCGATAGCAGATTGCCACCGCAGTTGCTTCTACTCACCGAAAGTCGTATTATTCTTAGAAAGAGAACAATTGGGTTATACACCACATTGTCGGAATTGAAGTCATATATTGAATTAAATCAAACGGGGTTTAAAAAGGCATTGAAAAAGTTTGACAAGTCCTTAAACACTAATATCAAGGAGTCATATTTGGAATCGTTGCCGGAAAACTCGTATATTTTCAAAAAATCGACCATGCAAAAAGTAAATGACCGATTGGAATCGTTGATCAAGTTGTATGCATTGATATGTAATCATGGAGCTGATTTAGAAGTGGCTAGACAAGAATTGTCGATACATTTACGAGAACACGTTGTGTGGGAAAGAAATACTGTTTGGAGAGATATGATTGGGTTGGAAAGAAAGACATATGCTGCCAATTCCAAGTTATTGGACCGAGCCGAGGGGGCAACAAGTGATAAGGAGAATGATTTGAAAGCAAGTGGTGGAAGTTTGAGCTCATTCAATATATCTATACGTAACCCAGTGCTTGTCAAATTGGTGGTTATTGCTGCAATTGCCATTTTTTTACTCAATGTATCACCATTTGACGATGTTGCCCAAAAGAATTGTTTTGCCATGTTGGTGTGTGCGTCATTGCTCTGGGCTACTGAAGCTATTCCATTATTTGTCACTTCTTTATTGATTCCGTTATTAATTGTGTTTCTCAATGTGATTAAGAATGACGATGGGTCGATTATGGATTCGGTTGATGCATCCAAGTATGTCTTGAGTACCATGTGGAACTCGGTCATTTTGTTGTTGTTGGGTGGTTTCACACTAGCAGCAGCATTGTCGAAATACCACATTGCCAAGTTGATTTCGACGTGGATTTTATCGAAAGCTGGGACTAATCCATCAGTGGTGTTGCTTACCATTATGGGTGTAGCTTTGATTGCTTCTGCATTCTTGCTGAATGTTGCTGCGCCGGTCATGTGTTTGAGTTTGATTACGCCACTTACTCGTACCTTGCCCAAGGGTTCACAGTTTATCAATGCGTTGATATTGGGAATCGCCTTGGCTTCCAATGTAGGAGGTATGGCTTCACCCATAGCTTCGCCTCAAAATATCATTGCCATTGGTGCTATTGAGCCCCAGCCATCATGGGGCCAATGGTTTGTTATATCGATACCAGTGTGTGTCTTGACATTGTTGTTGATTTGGATGTTTTTATTAATCACATTTAATTGTAACTCTAAAAACACCCATTTGGTGCCGATTAGAATGATTGATGATAAGTTTACTGGGATTCAATGGTATATTCTGATTGTTTCATTGGGTACTATATTGCTATGGTGTTTTGCATCGAAACTAACTGGGCTATTTGGAGAAATGGGTATTATATCGTTGATCCCCATGATTTTGTTTTTCGGATCGGGGTTGTTGACGACTGAAGATTTCAACAACTACCCCTGGAATATTGTTGTTTTGGCCATGGGTGGTACTGCATTAGGTAAAGCAGTAGCCTCCTCGGGGTTATTAAATACCATTGCCGTTGAGATTCAAAAGCAAGTTGAAGGGTTTTCGTTATTTGGCGTAACATTGACATTTGGACTATTGATTTTGATTATGGCGACATTTGTTTCGCATACGGTGGCAGCATTGATTATTATTCCTTTGGTGCAAGAAATTGGAAATAATATGCCAGAACCACATCCACGGTTGTTGATTATGGCCAGTGCATTGTTGTGTTCAGCAGCAATGGGATTACCTACCTCGGGGTTCCCCAATGTCACTGCAATTTGTATGACTGATGAATTTGGAAAGCCGTACTTGACTGTTGGTACGTTTATAACTAGAGGTGTACCTAGTTCGTTGATTGCGTATGGGATAATTGTCACCATAGGGTATGCTACAATGAAGATTATAAACTTTTGAAAAGAGAGAGATAGAGAGAGAGAGAGAGAGAGAGAGTGTGTGTGTGTGTATGTGTGAATGAGTTGTGGTGCGTTGTGTGAAGCAGGTAAGCAATTTTTATTTAATGTATTGTGTGTACAAAGTGTAATGAAAGGTGCGATTAACTTGTACTAGTTGAAACACATGGTAACCATTATGTACAGTTGTCGTGGGTGGCTAGTGGTTTCTTTTATTGTCTTTGACTTACCAAAGTGAAGGTATATATGTATATACGTCATATAAGTAAATCGATGCAATTGTATATGTGTGTATTGGTGTCTCAATTTCAAAATTAGACATATGTGACACAAAATCTATTCTGATCTTCTGATTTGCTGTCTATTCTGTTCTTTGACAGCTAATTATATAGCTAGATCGATAAATGGTGATACAGTTAGTGAAGGTGATTTAGTGAGTATGGCAGTCTATTAAGAGAGTTTGAGCGTAAAAACAAAATCTGAAAATATATCTCATGTATAAATCTTCTTCCGGGGCGTATCTCTTGTATTTTTTAAAATTGCCTTTCCCCAGTATTTTAAGCGTATCTGCATTGAAGTTGGATCTTTTTTTAATATTTTTAGTTTTGTTTTTTGCTCTGTTGTTGTGGGGTGGTAGATTCCAAAACAGAAGACGAAGTTTATGTATAGATGTATATGTATATTGTATATATAATTAAGTCTAAGTAGGAGAAAAGTGATCTTTATAAAATACAAGACTAAAGTCCGGATAATTGAGATGTAACCGAAAACCGAAAATCGTTTTTTTTATTTTTTATTTTTTGTTTTTTATTTTCTTTTTGAATTCCGATTATTTCCCTTCCCCTCAAAATTTTTTTTTAATTTTATTCTTTTTATTCTTTTTAATTTTAGTTTTCTGTTGGTTCTGTTGGTTCTTTTTATTTTTTTATTCTTTTTTTATTTTTTTATTTTTATTTTTATTTAAAAATAAAAAAATAAATTAATTTAATAATCTGAGGTTGGCGATTTTTTTTTTTCTTTTTCTTAAATTTAAATAGAACCAGAGAAGAAGAAGAAGGAGACTTTGTTGAATGGATAGTCTACTATTACAGCAACTAAAACAACTCATTGCTAATCAAGACATCACTTCAATAGCTCAACAACAACAACTACTGCAACAACAACAACAACAATTGTCCCAACATCTCACCACTATTGCTCCTAGCTTCAAATTTATTCCTCAAACCTTAGTCAACTTTTGGTACAAGAGAACTCCACAACAAAGACAAACATTATTGTTGCAAATCCTCATTCCTACCACTCTTGTATTATACATTCTACTACCCTCTTTACGCAGCAACCCACAAATGTTTACTAAACGTCCTGATAAACATACTACTGGTTTAATCAATTTGAGAAATGATTGTTTTGCCAATACTTCTTTACAAGCATACTCCTCATTACCTTCATTGACAGAATATCTCAACAAATTTATCACCAGTTTTAATCAACTTTCACAGTTTATCGAATTGCACAAGATTAATGTCGACGAGTTGATCAACCTAAGAATTCAACACCATAAGTCTCTACAAAATGATAAATTCAAGTCATCAAACCAAAAGTTTGATATTCCATTGCATATAGCAATGGCTTCGATGGTTAAAAAATTACAAGAGACGCAAATGACTTCAAAGACTATATCGGTTTGGACTTTTTTACATGAATTGGAGAAAATTTTCCATGCCAAAATATCTAGAAGCCAACACGATGCTCAAGAATTGACTCAATTGATTAATGAAACTTTGGAAAATGAAAATATTAAATTGAAAAGTTTCCATAAATTCATTACTTTACATTTACATCAAGTTGTTCCTAAGGGGGTACAACCATCGCCTCAGGATTATACTATTTTGGAACAAATTTCGGTTCCGGAATTCCCCTTTGATGGGTTAATCTTGAGTCAAATGTCATGTTTAACTTGTCATGGAGTGTCCAAGCCAACATTTACTCCATTTGTTATGTTGACTTTGCCGTTACCTATGCAACCCCAAGTTAAATTGGAAACATTGTTGGAAGAAAATGAAAGTGAAAATATTGAAGGATATCAATGTATCAAATGCAGATTGGACAAGATTGTGGCTAATGAACAAGCTTATGCTGAACAGCACAATGGCAAACCAAGACAAGTTTCACCACAAGAAGAACAGTTTTTACAACAAGTGACAGATTTGGATAATAACCCACACTTGTGTATCAATGAAGACTTGCCCCCACCGTTGGAGGATTATATTAAATCTTACAATGTGAATGGAATCGACATTTCAAAAGTTACTTCAACCGTTTCGAAAAAATCTCATATTCTTAAACCACCCAAAATATTTGGACTTCATTTATCACGATCAGCATTTGATGGTCATTCAGTGACTAGAAACTCTTGTCGAGTTGAATTCAAAGACAGTATGACTTTATCAATTGGGAAAGAATATCTGGACCGGTTGAAGCATTTCCAGTCGATTGTGCAAGATGATGAAGAAAAATTAATTACAAAGTTGACGTCATCGGTGTTGACTAATGATGAAAATGATATGGAAGATGAAGAAGTTCAACGAGACGATTTTGAAGAGAAGGGTCCTGCTGATGAAGACGAAGAAGAAATATTGACGGATGATGGGAGAACCACCGAGAATGGCACTACTGAGGATGACGATGATGATGATGATGAGGAGGACGAGGACGAAGAAGAAGATACCTCCTCTGCAACCAGTTCCGCATCGGCAGCTCAAACAATGACTACCGCAACTACTTTGAAAACGGGTGAAACACCAATTATTGCTCAGCCATCGATAAATTCGGCGCCAATATCAGAACAACAGACGGAAAAGTTGACACAACATTTTAGAAAGTTTAAATTCAATGATAACGACTTGTACAAGTATCGATTAAGGGCACTTATCAAGCATTTGGGTTCACATACTCAGGGTCATTATGAATGTTACAAACATAAACCATTGTTTGTTAAGGATAAAGATGGCAACATTTTCAAATTATCGCCAGAGATTATGGATTTATCAGGCAATATTCATTGTGATGCCGCACCAGTCGATTCGCAGCCACCACAGGATGATAGTAACAACAACACGAATGCTGCATCGTCATCAACATCCTCGTTCTCACTCGGCCGTAAAAGTTCAATGAGAAAACTGAGTCGTTCAATCAGTGGTGGCTCAGATAAGGATGATGATGGCTTGCGATCAAAATTTTCAAATCTTATGGGTAGACGTCCATCGGTTATACAAGCTAACCCGAGAAATGTTGAAGAGATTTTACAATCTGGATTACAAACTCCAGCCGAAATCTTGGTCGATGATCCCATGAAGAGCACCAATAACAACAACAACAACAACTTTGAAAATGCGTTTGCTCAACATAATTTAAAAGAGCAGCAACAACAACAGGGCCATCCATCGACTAATGGACACCCCAATAATCGTCAACATCCATTATCACAAGAAATCAGCAACAATGTCGCCAGTGGTGCAGCTGGTGGTGATGCTGACGCTGGTGCAAATACCAACAACCAATCGCAACCGCATAAGAAGGTCAAGATGAAGAAAATCAATTCATTAATTACAAACCCGTATTGGAGAATCAGTGATGGCCAAGTAAGTGAAGTTTCACGGGCATCTGTATTGGCCGAAGAGACCACGGCTTACATCTTGTATTATGAACGAGTTGATAGAAAGCAAATCAAACGATCACATCGTAACTAGAGAGAGAATTTAGATAGATAGATAGATGTACCATTTTTGCATTTTTCGTTTACAACAAAGTCACTTTCGTAATAAACATTAATCGTTGTATTATTATTATTATTCTTATTCTCATTCTCTCATTAATTCGTCTCTAAATAATTATAAACCTGTTGTTTGGACTCCTTATTAAACAACCTCACTTCCAAGAAATAAAAATTCACAATATCGGCAACAACACCATCGTCTTTATTCACGATTCGATTAGTCAAGACTGACAATAACTCCGACTTGGTCAATTTCAACAATGTAATAATCTGACAAAAATGCTCCACTGGCAATGAGTTGTTGCTGCCCATATTCTTGTTTAACAATTTATAAAATTTGATCCATATCATGAACCGATTGATGATTGCCTTAGCCAGGGCATGATGAGGCACGGCGTCAATCAACATTTGCAACATCATGGCCAGTAATTGCGATTTATCTTGGTTATTGGCAATGGGATTTTCTTCAATTATGGTCTTCATTTGTTGTAAATTGCCACTAGCAAGCAATGAACTAGCCATGTGGTTAAGGGAAACAAAGTTTGCCTTGGTGGTGGCGGTGCTAGCAATGCTGTCAAATTTGCCTTGTTGTTGTAATGAATCCAAAAACTTTGTATACGATAAAAGTTCCACCACTGGTGGAGCATTAGATGGATAGCCCCTGCTTAAAATGTTACTAGCTTCAACTCCCGATTTGAGGTCATGTTTGATTAACAATTCAACTAGTTCAGCATCATCATGATGATTGGCAAGTGGCAAAGTTTTCAACAACGTCGTGAATCCCAGTGGATTAGTCTCTAATTCAGCTTCAAGTTCCAACAATTGTACTTTGGGTGACTTGTTTTCAATAATTGCACAATATTTTTTCATTTCTTCAAATTGTTTCCCCTGTTTCAAATAGTCGAAATAGACAACTATCCAGCCCACATCCAGGTTGTGCAGATATGCCAATTCAAAGTCAAAGTCCAAATCAAAATCATTCACCTTTAACATGCCAACACTCGATTGAAACAAATTTGTCAACAACTGGGTATGGAATATGTTTTCGCGACACACAAATGCCGCAACTGCTTGATTCACTGTTTCATCATTGTAAGCAATCAATCGATTGATTAAAAATAATTTACTGTCCTCCTTGCAACCGGTCATCCATATACGATCTAGCATCGAAGCAACATCAATTTGTGGTAAATATTCATTAATAAAGTTTTGGTTAAGAAGTGCATTCCAAGTCTTGGGTTGGAAAGTGAAACCTTGTTCAAAAAGATCCATAAACTTTACCGCTCCTGTGTGGTAATTGATAGTCAACAAGTAACTCAAATCTTGATCAAATGAAATCTTGGCTATTTGATTAGCCTCTCCACGAGAAATTTCCAAATACTGGCAAGCCTTGTCAATGGCTAACGTTGAGTTACTCAAACCGGCAACAATCTCAGCAAAATGGGTTTCCAATCCCTTCTTCAAATCAACAATTTCCTCAGTCAACTCGATATAGTGATTAGCTGGATCTTCAAATTGATTAATCAAATGGGCTTCAAAATCGGCAACCTTGATCAATATTTCTTCATCTTTACCCGAGTACACCAATACTTGACGAGCAATGGTATTGAGCCCATAAAGGTTATCAGTCTGGAGATCGAAGCTCTGAACACATTTGAATGGTAATGTTGAATTCATAAGTAGTTGTACGTTATAGTTGGTTACACTGGCAACAGCCATGTCATTATCAGCCAATTCACAGGGAACAGAAATGGACAAATACTGGACAAACTCAGACACGAAGTCATTGAGGTTTGTCGAAGTTTGATAATGCTTTGCTTGTGTTAATAATAACAGATGAAGCAACCCCAAATAGTATTGGTTGAAAAACTCTCCTTGTGATTTGTTATTGATCACTCCATTATTCAAATAGTCTAAAACCATTCGTAAAACTTGATGATCGCCAATCAAGTGCTCCTTCACCATAATTTCCTTCACCAACTGAAACACACTCTCATGGTCGCCCTTACATATGGCAAAACCAAGAAGGGCATCTCGGCACGATAATCCACTAGTTTCCTTCATCATGTCTATAGTGGACATTGATTGGAAATCTTTCCTCAAAGCAATACGGTTATACAATGTCCACATTTCGTCATACTGGTCAGGTTGTTCCTGTAATTTTACAATAATGAAATTGTAAAACGAAATTGGCAATTCAGGTAGGTATGGCACTTGATGAAACTTTTTCAACAATTCAACAGACTTGACCACATCAGTATTGATGGCATAGGCTTTCAAAAATGTGGCAATCAAATCGCCAACTTGTCTTTTGGATGGTCGAGTGGCAAACTGCAATGATTCTTTATAATCAATTAAAATGTTATCCAAGAATTGACTAGCATTGTTAAGTTGATTGTTGTAGACCAAAGCATTCATCATGGATTGGTACACAGCGAATTCGTCAACATTGCTGAGTGTCCTAATTTTGCTGTACGTTTCATCGATAATAGCATACGCCTCTTGTTCATTGTAGGATTGTGACCGGTTCAAATATGCACAAAACTCTAGAACATTAAGATAGTAACTTGTTTCATTGCAATTTGTTTGCTTTACCATTTGTTCAAAAGACTCCACAATCAGTTCACTTAAAAGGCGTGGGTACAATTTGCATAAATTCACAACCTTGTCAAATATGCTTTCAAACTGCACATATTTTTGAGAGGATTGCAACAATTCAAATGTAATTTGGCCAAACTCCTTTACCTTGGCTGAATTTTCTTTAAACTCAATATAATTTGCACAAGGCACCTGTGTACATCTTATCGTATTGTCCAACATTGCATTCACCACTAAATTGTATGTTTCACCATTGGGCTTCAAGTTTGCGTAAATAATGTCCTGGTAAACTGTAAGTAGGTTGGTCAATTTCCGTTCGATAGCTCTTGTGTTGACCTCTCCATCCAAGGGCCTGTCAATTATTGATTTCAAAATAATGTTGTATAATTCCACAGTGGGTAAGGTTAAGTCGTTACGTTTGACAGCTTGATAGAGTGGGTATATGATATCAAGCTCTTGTTTATCAGCCTGCTTTTCAAAAGCACTTGTAATGTTTGTTATTTGTGTCTGCAAAAAGTGGTGGTCGAAATCTTCACTGTCTACCTCTCCCTTCTTAGCATCAGTGGATGGCGATGTTTGAGTAGTTTTAGATAGTTGCTGAAAGTGTGACTGAGAAATCGTGGTGAAGGATCTTTTTGAAAGACCAATTGAGAATATATCACCGTTCATAGGAGACATAGTCAATTGAGGTGTAGTTGGTATACTTGAAGAGTGAAAACTTGTGCCTGAATGGATAAAATAGCCAGCTGGTTTGACGTAGCACGATGACGTGAGTCTGTATGTAGCAGTCTTCAAGTTATCTAAACCAATTTGAGTATCCTTTATGGCTTTAGAAATTAAAAATTTAGCTGCAATTCCTAAAAGAAGTAGCTTAACATGGAATAGTCTCTTGTATTGCTTATGCGATCTATGGTTCCACCTGTGATGACGACCCTTTGACCAATGGCCACGATGATGATGATATTGCTTGCACGCATTCATAAACATGCATTGTTTAAACTTTGTCCTATCACCTTGTTCCAATTGATCGTTCATATAGCGCATAGTATACTTTTCATATGCCTCTTGACGTTCTTTTCTTTCACATTCATGATTGTACATGGAATAATATACGCCATAATGGCCATCTGCTATCGTAAGGAATGGGTTTGATTGGCTGGTAGACCCAGTTTCTGCCTTAGACCACCACCTGGCTCTATGGAAACAGTCATGGCGTTTCAGTAACCCCTGGTAATAATAGCTCGTGTTTAAATAAGGGAAAGATGCTTGAAAGAATGGTTGATGACGACGATTTGAATGATGCGTTCTTGCATGACGTAGTCTAGTTGAAATCCTAGCTAGCCGTATAAATGAAGGGAATACCATTGTTTGTCTATATGTCTATGTCTAGTGCAAGCAGAATGGGGGCGGGGGCGGGGGCGGGGGAAAGGAAGTTGGGTATTGGTTGCTTTGTCTATATAGTGTGAAGGTTGTTATTGTAGCAGCAACGTGGAATCATAAAGAATATGTGTGTGTGTGTTGTGAAAAAAAACACCACTGTTTAGGAATATGTCTAGTATATGACTAAAACAATGCTATCAACGGCGGAATAGTTTTGAAAACGTGGTGTAGACAATTTGTATCTCTAGTTAAAAGGTGTGTATGTATGTGTGTGTATTGGAGTATAATATCTTAGTTTGAATGATATATATTTATGATAGGTTGAATGAATATATTGCACACACACAAGAACAAGAACAAGTAAAAGAAGAAGAAAAGAAAAACAAAAGAAAAAATTTTTCTGCTAAGATTCCTTTGTACATCCTGCATATAATATCTAAACCGTGGGAGTTGAGGTTAAAACGTTAACAGTCAAAAACTAACAATATACAAAGACGTATGTAGAGATATATATGTATATATATATACACAATCAGATCTGCAAATCTCTCTTTATACACACACACACACACACAACTATCATGAAAGAAGAGACTCAATGCAAAGCACTACCGAATCATTGAAACTGAAAAGGGGACAACACAAGCAAACACTGTGGCATTAAAACCAATTTTGGGTCTTTTTTTTTATGTAGATCTAAATTTTTGCTGTGGTTTTCATTGGCTCATATTTAGAGTAGAGTTCTCGGTCCCGCTAAACTGCAGAATTCAACCCGCCGTCGGCCGACAATATACGGAGTTTAGCGTCGCTCAAGTATATAAGATATATAACCAGACCTATTACTTGATTCAAGCGCACTACGCAACAACCTCAATGCACTTACATATAACGACTACTTTACAGAGAGAATTTACTAAATTGCAAGTACTACTTCTCATTAATCAAAACAAAAAAAAAATGAAAGCAAGAGTAACAAATACCCTTCAATGTTCTATTAATGACAACTCCAATGCTCGCTTTAGTGCATCATCAACATCCTCGTCATTTGCTTGTGCGGGATTCTCAACAACCTCAGGTACAAACTCTTCACCAGGTTCAGCATTACTTGCATCAGCCTTTGAAAGTTCCAACGCCAACTTCAAATCGTTGTCGAGAACATCACCAGTCATATGTACCCCCATATCTGTCTGACTTGAGCTGTTGCTATATATGTTCTCACTCATTGCCAAAGCAATCCTCATTTCCTCCTCTTCATCATCATATTCAGTCCCATTGTACCTATCAAAAAGTTCCTCGGTTCTATTCTTGACATGAACTTGCCGATGATATTCATCCATTCCGTCTCTAATCTTCTTCTTTGACTCGTGTTTCCCATGTGATCCAATATTGACTTGTTTTCCCTTTTTAGCACCCCCGGCATTCAATTTCTTGCTATTCAAATTGCCAAATTCGAAATATTGTATCACATCGCCACACACTATTACACCGTTGGTATCTTGTTGATCAGGGTTGAGCTTAACCAACTCAACCATTTTTGGAAAATGTTGCATGTGTTCAAATCGCTTGGGGAATTTAATTGAAACTTCTCTTAGAAACTTACCAGTGAAAACATCATAAACGCAAGTCAACCCATTATATCCGGAAACTGCCACCACCGACGCATTTAGAGCAAAAGTGGTGACACCCAATAATTGTCCTTGTAATACGGCATTGTGTATGCGACCCAGAATCTTTTTATGATTCAATTCTGGAAATAACCGTAGTTGAGGTTCAATCTTGTGGGTTGATTGTTCACGAACATTCCATACAATAATGCTTCCATCACTTAATAGATTTCCACATAATAATCCATCACCACCTACAAAATTTGCATTTACATTGTGCAAATAACTCTTACCGACAGTCTGAAGTTGGGTGCCGATAACAGTTTCTTCTTCAAATTCCAATTTTCTAATCCCAGTGCAATGGAAATCGTAAACACGAATACTTTTCCCCCGACTCAAGATTATACTCTCTCCACCAAAATCAACATCTAGTGTGTTCTTGCCATAAGCAAGTTGTTCAACGTGTATTGCGTCTTCATCACAGGCAGGAATATCCAAGTTTGCCAGTCCTAAAATCTCCAAATTATCAAATCTTAACACATATATGGAAATCAAGGTATTGACAATAATATACTTGTTGAAGTCAGATTTTATATTCAAGATAGTTCCATCCAATTTAACCGAGTTTTTAAGCTCCCCATGCAAACTCCAACACAGTAAACTTCCATCATGCAGTCCACTAATAACATCAACAGTAGCTCCATTCTTATCCACATATGAGTTGACGATCACACTCATGATAGGGCTTCTCTCATCCTCTTTTATTTCAAAATAGGTAATACTACCTCTCTGACTGAACGAAGTGCTAAGTATCAAATTCTTGACAACAATCTCACCATTCTTTTTGCCCATAACCAAGTAGTTGAAATTCATATCATAACTTAAAATATCCATATTCATCATTCCCGGGATAAAACTCTGGTTTTTGCCACTATCAAGGTTTCCAAAACTGATATTCCCCAGTACCTGGTCAAACACTGCAACCTTATTCATTTTAAAATCACATAACGTCAATCCACCCATCCTGAGTTCACTATTCACCACTTGATAAGTTTGATGTGTCGATATACCTTTCCTCCAATTGCGGATTATTTGTAATCTAGCAAAATACTCATTCATCCAATTTGAACCCTGGGTCACACTCGGAAATGATGAAGCTGAAAGTAGAATACCGAATCTTTTACGAAACAGCTTGGTCCAAGTTTCCTTGTCATTGATGACATGGTTCCATTTCCTGCAAACTAGTCGTAGACTATTCAATGATGAGGGCTCTAATTGCGAGAAGGCATGGATCAAAATCTCGTCAGGTAAATCGTTAATGAATATTAGTTGCTGACACTTCGGCACTTCTTGATGAAAGTTTGTGGTATTTCCCAATGTATCACTTATAGACTCTGCCTGGCTCATGCTTGCTATATTTCCATATTTTGGAGTCTCTTTATCTCAAAAAGAAGGGACTCAGTTTTGTTTTGCCATTATTAATAGTTTATGACCCGCGTGGGAAAAAAAATCAAAAAAAATACTCAAAAGTATAACCGTCGCATTTTTCTGCCTTTGTTTTTTTCATTTTATTTTGCAGCTTAAACAAGAAGACAAACGAAGTGACCTTGTTGCAGAATTTAGCATCACTTTCAGCCATGAAAAAAATGTAAATGTATAGTCCCTCGAGAATATTNCGAACTAACTACGTTTCAACCCAATTGAAACCAATGCATACGCACCACTAAAATAATTCATTTATGTACCTTCCATTTTCCAATCATACTTCTGAAGGAGGATCTCGATATCTCTGTGCGATCACGTTTATGCAAATGCATTCCCTTAAAGAATTTTTTGGTAATGGATCCTTTAGCCTCTGACAAAACACCTTCAGTTTCGCCAGCGGTATCTGCCTGTTGTGTATCNATGGATCCTTTAGCCTCTGACAAAACACCTTCAGTTTCACCAGCGGTATCTGCCTGTTGTGTATCCCAAGATGTATCTTCAACAGCAAAGGCTTCATTTTCAGCAAGGCCACCTTCTCTCTCCATACAAGCATCTTCAACCGGCGTAGATTGTTTGACCAAAAAATCATTGAGCTCATCCGCGTCCTTATCCAGCATTTTGAGGTCTTCTTTCTTTGATAACCACAAATATAGGACACCCATACGATTTATTTCCTCATGGTTCCTGTCAAAGAATTTTTGAATATCTAACTGAACCTTCTTGACACCGAGATGATTTCCTATACCTTTGTATTCCACTATGGCCATGATATCTGGAGTTATTAAAATGGTCTCTTTAATCTTAGCAGCACACATGGATAACAACATTTGGTTGATGACTTCACTGTCAGAAC